CTTATAGATATTTTTATTTTTACAAAATAGTGGTCAATGTAAATTTACAGAGCATTTCAAAATCCGTTTGAGGATGAAATGGAACTAATGTCTTTAATTTAATTACAAAATTAAATTTGGTTAGAACTGTGTAGCGAAAAAAACGTATTTTAAATCAATTAATTTATAATATGCATATATAGGAGGCACGGTGGAGTAATGGATAGCGGTTTGGATTGAGGAAACGCAGAGCCGAGTTCGAATTCCAGTGGAATCCATTGCATTCACTTACGTGCTAAAGGTGTAAATCATCCTCTTCTTCTCCCTCCAGCTATGGGTAAATAGCAGGACAAACTGGGTTCTATAGCCTTGGATGGCAACTGGTCTAAGAGAAGGACAACTCTGAATTCAAAACCTGCAGAGGGTCGTTTGGGGACCTTGTGGCACTTAGATTTCTCCCTTCAAAAAGTGTGGATGGTCCTGCACGAAACCTTCATCACTGTGATTAAATCTCATGTGCCGCTGTCGGTTTGCAACACTGCACGCTCCAAAATTTTGCAACTGGCAATAATAACATATTAAAAAAAGAAAAAATCTTTCGACCTGTATTACATTTATTTCGTCTGAAAAGGAAAAATAATGTACATGCCTGATGATGATCATAATAAGAATTGTCGAAAGTACTAGCATATCTACGGAACATACGTAATATCTAATCCATTTTACAATTTTTAAAAAACACGGAAAGCGTCATTCAACGAGTGGTTAGCAGGTTAATGCTTTATTAAATCTGTTAGCGAAGTGACTTCGCCATTAATTACATTGACTTTAGTTATTTATTATTTGTATACATACATACATATATATATATATATATATATATATATATATATATATATATATATATATATATATATATATCATTTTATATCATTATCTTTACTAATCTACTCTTTGTATGAATGATTCATTGTAATATAAATTGGACTGCACAGCATATTTGATTTAAAAGAACTAACTCGACGTGCAAATTTTCGGGATAACAACTGAGACATTACTCTACTTATTGAACAATTTAGTTCATGCAACATTGACTGATAAACTCCTACAACAAAAAAATTCTCAAATTACCATATTAGTAAAAAAAAAAAAATAAATTCTCTTAAATTTCAAAAAAAAAAAAAAAAAATTCAACCTTAGCGTTGCGACTGCATGCGACAATAGTTTGTATCCGTTAACAATCACATTTAAAATAAAAACATATTTCGATTCGCATTATATTTTTTGGTCTCGGATGCTACCTGAATTTTACCAAAAAGAAAATAATTTACATGCCTGAAGATGACTGAATGTAGAGTTGAAAGTACTTGCATATTAAAGAAAGACCTTATACAGCTTATAATTTTAAAAAACAAGGATCATAACATTCATCGAGTGATTGGTAGGTCAATGCAGCTTTAAAATTGTTTGGGAAGGCATTTCGCCATTTTATATCATTAACTTTACTAATCTACTTTTTATATGATTGATTCATTGTAATATATATATATATATATATATATATATATATATATATCCGTTTGACTGGAGTCAGGAAGTGCAAAATCATCCGTCTTGCCCATTGTCCAAAGCGCATTCAGCAACAGTTTAGTCATTTTCAAGGGGGGGGTTACTTTTAGGTTGATAAGCCGTAGAAAACAAATCAATCAATGAAATACTGCTGATTACCTATAGAGACAGGTCTTTTACATTTATTTACACTATCTGGAATATAAATGTATAGAAACTAAATTGGAGAGAAAGTGAGGGATCATTCTATATATTGATTGTCATATATAATTGATCTCCCATATAATCTATCCACATAATAATTTCTTGCTTGTTTATCAAATCTTGATTCGGTAAAAATGTATCTCTTCTCCCGCCTAACTAGGATTGACTTAGTAAGACTTGTATCATTATTATCTCCAAAGAAACTAAATAAAATTCTTACAATCTAAAACTATTAATTTTCTTACTTTCGTCTTTCCTCGCCATCAAAACGGAATAGTCCATTATTTATGAGTTATTGGCAGGATACGTTAAACATTTCTTACTAGATTTTCTTTTAATGAAACGAAGTAGCATCACTGATATGTGTTTTTCTTTTTTCCTTGCGATCAAAACGGAATAGTCCATTATTTATGAGGTATTGGCAGGATACGTTAAACATTTCTATATTTTCTTTTAATGAAACGAAGTAGCGTCACTGACATGTGTTTTTCGTCTTTCCTCGTGATGAAAACGGAATAGTCCATTATTTATGAAGCAATGTCAGGGCGTAACGTACTTTCTGTCTAACAAACTAAGGAAATAAGGGAAAAGCGGATAACATGGTAATAATATTAATTGACACAATTGTTTATTTCCAATGAACGGCTGCATCAATCCGAGCACCTGAAAACTTATTCCCTGTTCTCAAGTTTTACATTTACGTCTCAGTCTGAACATTTTTTGTAAGTCGAATAATCGTCTTGTCAGCTAAACGCTGATTGATGATGTTCAAACATTGAATTACATGAAGAGCAAACAGTAAATTGCCAATACTTACAGAGTGAAGTTACTTTTCACCGTGTCAGTAAGTGTGGTTTATTATAGACTTATACAGACAATCTCTTTCTCGACATCGATAAAACACACACGCAAACGCACACACACACACACGCAAACGCACACACAAGCACATACGCAAACACACACAGAGACACACACTGAAACACACACTGAAACACACACAGACATATATATATATATATATATATATATATATATATATATATATAGTCCCTCTTCCTCAATATATGCAATAAACTACAGTATAGCTTTTAATTCACGAAAGTTTACTGTACATTTACACCGCCTGAGGATTGCATGAGCGTCCCACGTAAGTAAAAGTTAAGTAAAACATATTTTTATATTGGAAATTGCTCCATATTTTATATTTTAAATTAAACTGTGTTGTCATAACGTTTGCGTTTTTGACAAAATTTCATTGTTTATATATATATATATATATATATATATATATATATATATATATATATATATGTATGTGTGTGTGTTTTTGTAAGACAGACAGACAGAGAGAGAGAGAGAGAGAGAGACCCCAAATGTCTATAAAACCCAAACATTAACCTAAAAAACTCAAGTTATGCGCTTAAATAGCCTCGACATATTGAGATTTTCATATGGACGTCATTCCTGGCGTCAAACTCGTTCAGAAATGTCTAAACAGTCGGCTAATTTTTTTTTTTTTTTTTCGAGTTCACCCCAAGCAAAGTAATAAAGCCAGTAAGACAGAGGTTACTGGGTTTGGAAGAATTAGAAAACAGTAACATTACTAAGTAACGCGAACAACAGAAAAATAATTAGGAGGACAGTAGATTGCGATTGAGATTGCATTTAAAATTTTTAAGATTCAAGTTGGCTGGAATGCATGGAGACAAAAGGCAATTCCACGAGCGAGAAGTACGAGAAAAAAAAACGGTTATCTTAGAACTTACGGTTACATCTAGCCTGCTTAACTATAAATTGATGAGTCCACGCCTCCAGTCTAGTACTATGCTTAAATTCATAAAGTCTAAGTTCCATAGCAAAGAGCTCAAATGTTTTCTTGGATCAATGTTTAAAAATGGCGTCCAACTAGTGAAAACTGCAGATCTTAGTGAATATCATCCTTCTTCGACTTCCGAAATTTTTTAATAAGAAATTTATTTATTGAAAAAAAGTTTGAACAAAGTAACTATAAACAATTTTTTTTTTTTGCTATGCTCTGCCAGCCGCAATGATGGAGAAAGCATTACCTCGAACCTTGGCTGCAAGAGCCATTCCGTTTCGTGAGTCTAGACCCTTAATCGAGATGCCATCGCGCCAATCCTCCGAAGGAACGCCATTGAACGTGGGCCAATAACCCCAGAAGCCTCCCCTGCCACAGAAGTAAAAAAAAAAAAAAAAAAATCTATCAGCAAGAGAAGAATATTTAACTATTTTTTTTTTTTCATCTCTGCATCCGGGGCGACGGATCCCGGCTCAACCGCGGACCTGATCAAATTATCGGCCGAAAATGTATCCGCACAGGTCGCATCCCAAATCAACGACTTACCCATTTTAAAAGGGAAAATGGTAATGCCATCCGGCCGCTTTCCGTCACCACGGTCGAGACCTAAGGGTTCGATTTGGGAGGAGAACCCAGCTGCATCCAGACCTCTTCTGATGATGTCGTTTATTGCTGCATGCCGTGAAAAGCGGCCGACACTAAGACGACAGGAGAGAGGATGCAAACCAAATTTCGAAATTGTCTTTCAACAGCAGCAACAAAATGAGTACAACACATAACTCCAAGATAACATGATGACGTAATCATGGTGCTGACGTTTCAATCTAATACTGCATCAATACTGGAAAGAGCGATAACAGTTACTGGACTTGAGAAACCTGTTTTGCTGAAAAATTGTTTTAAAACGAAGACTTTATAAGACGTTATAAGTGTCGTTTATTCGTTTCCGAGCATGCGCGTCTGTTTAGGGCAGTTAGACAATCCCTGTTGCAAACGCCAGCTCAGGCACTTTTTTGCTTGTTCAACACCGAAAGAGCACACCTGTGTTTCATCCTGCGTCTATACGAAGTGGAACTTAATTATGGTTTCTGGAAAAGAGCGCATAATTTGTTGCGATCTCCAATTTGGACAAAGCAAATACCCTGAAACACTCGGTCACGATGACTTTTCAGTTCGTGCTATCGGAAATTTGTATATAGAAAATTTCATTCACAAGCCCTTCGTCAAACCGTGATTAGGATTTACAGCCACTTTCCACGTTGTTAGCACTCCACCGAGTCGATGACATCACGATGTCCACCCACAGAAAATTTGACGGTAATACTTCACTTAAGCGGCGTAAAATAAACGGCTATTCCCTGAACGGCGGAGAATCAACAAGACCAAGATACATACGGTTATTATAAGTGAAAAGTATTGCAACGGGTCATGGCGATCTACAGAAAGTAAATGCTGAAAACACGGAACAGTTCTTGTACCGATGACGCCACACAAATTCGTGAAGATACGACGTGAACGACGCCTCTGAAGTTCCAAAAATCCAAGTCATACTGCTGCAAACGTATACATATATGAACGAGGAAAAATATGCCACCAAAAAAAAACAAAAAAAATACTGAAAGGCAGAGAGGGAGAGAGGGTGGAGATAGATAGATAGATAGATAGATAGATAGATAGATAGATAGATAGATAGATAGATAGAACAAAATGATGGATAGAAAATAGATAGATAGATAGATAGATAGATAATAGATAGATGAATAGAACTGAATCACACATACACAGATAGATAGATATAGATAAGAATGGACATGAATAGATGAATAGATAGATAGATAGATAGATAGATGGATAGATGAACAAACTGATGATAGATAGATAGATAGATAGATAGATAGATAGATAGATAGATAGAGGAACAAACTGATAGATAGATAGATAGATGAATAGATAGATGAGATAGATAGATTAACCGACTGAGATAGATAGATAGATAGATAGATAGATAGATAGATAGATAGATAGATGAACAAACTGACAGATAGATAGATAGATAGATAGATAGATAGATATGATCAGATTTAGATAGAAATGAACAGATTAAGATAGAAAGGAACAGATTGAGATAGATCGATAGATCGATAGATAGATAGATGAACAGACTGAAATAGATTGATAGATATGAATAGACTGTGATATATATATATATATATAGATATAGATAGATAGAGAAAGAGCGAGCGAGAGAGAGAGAGATAGTACGTATATAATTTAATAAAGTTGGCCAAACGTAAAATGCACTCATATTAAGAAACATTGTGAGCAAATATTTTGTATTCATTGCGCTCTGACGTGTAGACCAATTAATAAGCCTTAATATGGGAGCGGGGTTGGGAGCAAGGAATGAGTTTTGTCCTTCTCGAATGAGCAACGCCTGGTCCCCACTTCAAGACAAGACACGAACGACAAAAAAAGGGACTCAACAAAAACACTAATTTCTGACAGGTGACAGATATAGATGTCATTGTTCAGACAAGTGTGGCTTCTGGTTGGGGTGCAAAAGTTACGCTTAATGATATTGAAAAGCTCAAGGGTTGGAGGGTACGTCGCTTTTCCATCATCAGATGAAAAACAAACAATAGAAGAATTAAACACAGACACGTACGTGTGGGTGCATATCTATTTATCAATCCCTTATATATATATATATATATATATATATATATATATATATATATATATATATATATATAGAATAAAATAATACATTTAAATTATGCATGAATATAGATGTGAGTGTGTGTGTTTACAGTGTGCGATCAGTAAATTGTCGCCATTTTGTGTTTTTAATTTTCCCCTTGATTATTATGTGTGGGGCAAATTTGAGCCAGAGACCAACAGAATTCTTTGTAACCCCAAAGATGAACTGACGGCAAGGATAATGGCAGCATTCACCAACTTAAACAAGGAGATCGTCCAGAAGAGTTGCAGGAGATTCCGAAGTCGTCTGGGGGCCGTAGTTGAAGCCAATAGCGATTCATTTGTACAAACATACATATATATATGTATATATACTATGTATGTGGTTATATTGAAAGATGTTGAGGATATACCATGAATCGACCATGTGTGCAACGACGAAGTTTTACACACACACACACACACACACACATATATATATATATATATATATTACAGGAATTGAAATTTATTCTATGGACTTCTAGCCTCAACTTCCGACAACAAATGCTATGGTGAAATTTTTTTTGTTTAAGTCAGAATTTATATATATATATATATATATATATATATATATATATATATATATATATATATATGTGTGTGTGTGTGTGTGTGTGTGTGTGTGAAGATGACGAGACAAAGTGAAAATATATATATATATATATATATATATATATATATATATATATATATATATGTATGTATGTATCAGGTGTAACAGTAAAATTGCCCAAATCGTGTTACAGCATAATTGTCCATCCCACAAAATTAATATCTAAAAAACCGCTAAACTAATTTTTTTCCAGGTTTTCAGCTAAGACGGTTAGACATCTTGTCACCATCTGTCGTAAGAATCACTAAAAACCCTTTGATTTATTCAGCTAGAAAGCGAACAGGTTAAAATCATTTTGTGTCAGCCCGACTCTCTTTCCAAATGAGCAATGGTGAAAGAAAAAAAATATCCTTCAGGCCCTCAATAATGGCACTAACATTCATAATGAGGGTTCATCATTCCAACTTAAAGCTAAATAGCTCAATTAGAAAAGATCCAACTCAGTTCATAAGGCATTTTTCACGTGAGAGAGGGGTTTCACCTATGGTAGTCCAAAGAGCAGTGAAAAAAGACTTGAAAATGACATACGTGAAAACTGTGAGGCTCCTTCTTACTCCAGGACAGAAAGCTAGAAGAGTAGAGAGGGAGAAGATCATCTTGAATAAGTTGTAAAATCATCCTGTAATGATATATATATATGTATGTGAATTTAATTTCAATCCTTCATGAGCTTCCGATCCTTAGCTATGATTATTTAACGATAAGCATGTCATTTTAGTTTATGATCGAATTCATCACGATTCTTCTGTTAACCTTGGAGAATGATTATACATTCTTATTGCTTAAATTGGAATTCAACAGTGTTATAAAAACATCGGCGAATTCCAGTAAGATATCTTTAATCATTTCTAAGTTACAACGGTTCAAATCTTAATCTAACAATTGGACAATTTGGCTGTTACACGATTTGGACCATTTCGCTGTGACACCCGGTATATATATATATATATATGTGTGTGTGTGTGTGTGTGTGTGTGTGTGTTTGTTGTGGGTATGCAGTCTTGGGCACTGGTTTAATAGATCGGATCACTCGAATTTTGTTCACTTTTCCAAAATGTTACACGCACACTGTGAGAACTTCTTTCGGAAACTTTTTCAAACTGATGACTATTGTTGTGTTAATCGCTTCCAAATTCTGTTCGAAGTGTTTGCGAATTTGTGCGAACTGCTTTCGAACTTTCCTTGAAGTGATTTTGAACTCTCCTCAAAATGCTTTCGATCTTTCCACGAAGTGCTTTCGAACTTTCCTCCAACTGCTTTCGAACTTTCCTCCAACTGCTTTCGAACTTTCCTCCAACTGCTTTCGAACTTTCCTCCAACTGCTTTCGAACCACCCTCGAAGTACTTTAGAACTTTCCTCGAACTGTTTTTAAAGTTTGTTCGAACTGATTTCGATCATACACCCAAATGCTTTCGAACTTACCTCGAAGTGCTTTCAAATTTTCCTTGAAATTCTTCGAAATGCTTGATTATTATGTTAGAACTCCTTTCTAATTTTGATTAAATTGATTTCGAATATTTTCGATCTGCTTGCAAATATTTTGCGAACTGGCCGCCGAATTTTTTATATTGTAGGGCTTTCTCCACAATTCTTGCATGTATAAAAAATTTCATTTCACAAAAAACACATCTTTTCTATTTTCTCTAAGTACCGTATATCTCTAGAACGTGAGCGATCACGCTACTCCACAGCTACCTATCCATTGTAGGCTTTAATATTTTCTCTTTAACAAGCTTCTCCCCTACCCGTTCCTCTATCAAATCACGCAAGCTTCTTGCCTTCTCTCGCTTTTGCCACATATATGTCCTGTTAGTATCAAATTCTCCAGGCTGTTCTTCCTCATTTTGTACCCAAGAAATTTCGGCTATCTCTTCTTGATTCTCAGTATAATTATATACCCGCTGACCCACGCAGCAAGATGTGGCAGAAGGCCGAGTTTAAAGTGGGGTATCGGCTCGGCCAAAGATTCCCTATAGACAACGTAAAAACGGAGTCAGTTTTCCGAGACGAGACTCTGCCCTTCAGGCAGAGCCTCGTCCGGGGAATACCATCTGACAAAAGCCATATAAAAGTATAAATCTTCATTTCGTTTCCATTTTTCCTTAAGATTTCTTCGTTCCTGGAACGCTCCGTTGACGATATTCTCAACATCTTTCTGTAGAACCAGATTTCTGTTTCTTACAATTTGTATTCTTCATCTGTGAAGCGTTTCTCTACAAACAGCGCTTATTTAGTTAATACTATGGCACGAGAAATGTCTAAAATGATCTAGCTAGCTCAACCTGCCCGCCGTGAGCCAGTCTTAGGACAAAGACAATTGATATAACCTGCTGAATAAATAGACCATTTTGTGGTGTAAAGAAAAGTGAAAATGTACCAAAATAAAAATAGGCTGCTGTGAAGGATGAATCACAATCGGGTAACCCAAAGGAGAAGATGACAGTTTTGATTAATTTATTACTTGAAAGGATGAAATCTTCAATAATCACCTGGTCGTCACCCCTTGAAGTTGCAATAACAATACATATTTGAATGGTTAAGACTATGATAGAGGCTTATGAAAAGACATGTAAATAAAAAGATACATATCCAAAGAATGAGGGAGATAGATATTTATGTGCAATTTGATATATATATATATATATATATATATATATATATATATAATATTAGTGGAAAATATACATACATATGCAAAATATATATAAAAAAATACCCATACATGTATATTTTCAGAAAAAAATTTTCCGAGAGGAAGAATCCAGGTAGAACTAAATGTCTAGGACAGAGTAAGGATATAATAAAAAGGCTTAAACACTAATATTCCATGGTCATAATTTATTCCATTGGAATAGTAAATACGATCCAAATCATCACACCTATAAATTCAAAAGTCTGATGAATTGGATCGTATTTACGATTCCAATGGAATAAATTATGACCATGGAATATTAGTGTTTATATATATATATATATATATATATATATATATATATATATATATATATATATATGTGTGTGTGTGTGTGTGTGTGTGTGTGTGTGTGTTTTTCTATTTGGATAGCAACCTGTCTTTTTATACAAGTTTAATTAAAGAAGTCTTATAAGGTACTGTGATTAAGCTTTTTATTCTTTTTTCTCTCCTGTGTTTTTTCCCCATAAAAGAAAACTGAACAAAAAGCTTACCTTGTCAGTCGTCTTTAATGAAAAAGATATATATATATATATATATATATACATATATATATATGTAAAAGGTGTTCCAATAATTTGGACCGATTTTAAATGTGAAGTAATGATTCTTTTTCTTTCAGATTTGTCGGATATTTGAGCAATATTATTTTTCACATATAATTGCCATGACTTAAATAACATGATCCAATAGAGAAATAAATAAATGTTCACCAATAAAACTGATTTATTTACTACTGACTTTGATCCGTCTTAATGAAACACTTTTATACATAATCCGTTATAATCCAAGACCCATTACGTGATTTTGCGTGTGTGCGCGCGCGTGCGTTTTTATGTGTGTGTGCGTGCGTGCGCATGTACGTGAAGGCACGCGCGTGTGTTTATGTGTGTGCATAAATGTATATTTGCATAGCAACCTTTCTTTTAAGCATATTTCGTTAAATATAACAGAAAAAGGAAAATTGAAGTAAGTTTTTACTTATTTTTTTTCATCATTCCGACATTTTTGTGTATTGTACATTTTGTGAATATTTTATACTTTGTGAATATTTTATAAGAATAATTTTATCTGATTATCAATGATGCAGTTGAGAAAATAGTTGACTAATATTTGTTTTATGTGTTTTAGTTCACTCAGAAATATATATATGGAAAATGAATTGAGCACGATGGCTGTCTGGTGTTTGTTTATATTCATAAAAAATAATATGCTAGAATTTCCATTTCACTCTGCCGTCCGCTGAAGGCAGGGGTAGACACTCCGACTCATGTCAAATCGGCCGGATTTTGA